AGATCTCTTAAATCAATTATATGTATTCTCTCTCCCAAATCAAGTTATATTACACCTTTCATATTAAATGTTTCCAAAATTTTGTGGCCCCTGGTAAAATCAATTGATTCAATCTTTGTAATTAAGAGATGTACTTGGGGCCGGGAAGATAGCTCAGTAGGATAAGCGCTTGCCTGACAAGTGCAAGGGCCTGAGTTCAATCCTTGGTTCCGCCAAACATCTTTTTTAACTCAGGACCTTGCGCTTGCCAAGCAGGTGCTTATTCTACTGAGCTATCTCCCTGGCCCCTTATTGGGGAATTTTTGAAAAATAAATTTAGAAAAAAGATCTCAAAAAAGGAGCAAATGAAGGAGTATTCTTGTCTATCAGAATATGCCTGTCATTGCTTTCATGGCTCATATGTAAAGGAGAGGAAGTTTGAAAAAAACACTAATCGCTAGTAAAGGAATCACATATAAATTACTTTGTTTTTTAGAGACAGGATCTCACTATCACCTGTGCTGGCCCTGAACTCACCATGTAGCCCAGGGCAGCCTCAAACATGTGGCAATCTTACTGGCTCAGCCTCCTGAGTGCTGAGATAACATTCATGTGCCACCATGTAGCCTGGGAATTGCAGATGAATTTTGCTTCCCTTTGATGATGTAGGATCTTTATTTTTGTAGCAATTACTTATTTCCATCCAAGAAAATTGCATTGTAGTTTAAAGTCTTTTTCTAAGGAATGAAATGTGTAATTTGGTGGACAGCCTAAATGACAACATATTACGAAAGTTATTTTATTACTGAATAATACTTATTATTGAATCACTCTGGTAGTGTAAGTCCCCAGGTAACTTTACCAGTCTGTCTTTGAGAGAAGTCTTGGAGAATTGAAGAGAAAACAAAATGAAGAAGCTGCTGATGGAAATGGTGGAATACATTATTTAACCATTATTCAGGCAGGACCTCAAAGGACTGAGCTGTGGAAATATGTCCATCTCTTCATTTGAACCGTCTCTTTTTCCAGGTTGGTGGCACCAAGGCTGGTGTGGTCCGGTTTCTTGGGGAGACTGACTTTGCCAAGGGGGAATGGTGTGGTGTGGAGTTAGATGAACCTCTTGGGAAGAACGATGGTGCTGTTGCTGGAACAAGGTTGGTTTTAAATTACATAACGTGTCCATCTTGCATGTGAAGGTGCTCCAGTGGATCTCAGGTGTGTGGAATAAAATGAAAATGAGTCTGCTGAAGGCTGTATTTTTATTTCTTGCCTTCTGTATTCATTCTCTCCCTCCCTCCCTCCTTTCATTTTCCCTTTCACTTTTATTTGGTCTTGGGGATTGAACCCAGGGGTGTTCTACCACTGAGCTATATCCCAACCCTTTGAAATTTTAAAAAAATTATTACTATTTTAATTTTTGAAACAGGGTTTCATGAAGTTGTCCAGGCTGGCCTGGAATTTGTGATCCTCTTGCCTTAGCCTCTCAAGTAGCTGGGACGACAGATAAACACCACTGTCCCCAGCAACCGCCAACCCTAGTGGAGTTGTTCTTTTGATTACTTCTTTAGTAATATGTAAGGTTCATCTGAGTAATTTTGAATAAGCACTTGGTTTATTTTTCAAAATAAGAACGACTGGATTATTCTGTGAGGGCAGTTGATCTCTGCAAGCTCCTAAGTGTCTGGGGTGGGATAAGGCAAAGAGAAG